TCCTCGCCTCTCCTCCTCTCTCTACTCTCTCTCTTCTCTCTCGCACCCGCTCTCTCTCTCCTCTCTCGCCACGCTCTCTCTCTCTCTCTCTCTCTCTCCTCTCTCTCTCTCTCTCTCGTGTCTCTCTCTCACACACTCTCTGTCTCTCTCTCGCTCTCCTCTCTCTCTCTCTCTCTTCTTTCTCTCTCTCTCTCTTTCTCTCTCTCTCTCTCTGTCATGTCTCCTCTGTCTCTCTGTCTCGTCTAGGTCTTCTCTCTCTCTCTCCTCTCTTTCTCTCTCCCTCTCTCTCTTTCTCTCTCTCTCTCTCTCTCTCTCGCTCTCTTTCTCTCTCTCTCGTCTCTCTCCTCTCGTCTCTCCTCTCTCTCTCTCTCTGTCTCTCTCTCTCTCATCTCTACTCTACTCTCGCTCTTTCGTCTCTCTCTCCTCTCTCTCTCTCTCTTTCTCTCTCTCTACTCTCAACTCCCCCTTCTCTCTCTCTCTCTCTCTCTCTCTCTCTCTCTCTCTCTCTCTCTCTCTCTCACTTTTCTTTCCTTCTCTCCACCCTCTCCCCTCTCTTTTGAGCCCTGTATATACTCGCGATCTCTTTCTCCATTTCCCTCAAAGAGTATAGCCTATGAAGCTACGTTTAGCTATAAAAGTCTCCATAGCCTTCAACTCAATCCTTTTGCGTTAAGGCGAACTCTAGCCCTAATCATCCGAATCCACACTTCTTTGGTATGAATTTTCCGCCCTATCCAATGCCATATGCACCTTACAATGAGCCGTGTTGATTCGATTTAGCGCTCCAACATCTTTCATTCCTACGAGTCTACGCCGCAACCTTATTTCTCGCATAGCTCAATGTACCAGTAATACATTGCATGAGACTTTTTATGCGCCGCTGCTGGTCATTGAATTTTCCTTGACGTGTGTCTTTTCATGTATCCTATGCAAACTCTCTCTTCTCTCGATATGCATATATAGCGGCTTGTACATTATATTATGCAAGCGAAGTCGCCGCCAATAATAGCGCAAATCAGTCGCATGCTATAGTATATACATTTTATCGATACCCCATACTAAACCCGCTAAGTAGGCACATACACTGTATACTGCGATGAATTTAGCGGGTGAGTATCATTAGGCAAAACTAGCATGTAGTCAGAGGAAATTCGCAACGCCATTATTCAATCAACATAAATCGCACGCTGAATACTCTCCGCTGCTCTCGTTCCAGTTAACCTACCCAACAGATGCGCGCTGCCCGATCAATGTTAGCATACAGAACTACCTGTTGACTGAAAACCCGGTAATTTGCTGGTTGTAAATAATGTTTTTGGGTTTTTTATTAGTACCGCCCGTCATTAGCATCATTGTGTCTTTAATAGTTCATACATGAGTCATACGCTTCCGCCCAAAAGACGAATTTTTTATGCCTTTCACATAACAACTTTGTGTATCACTAACTAGCATGGTTGCGTGATTAGGAACTTTTGCACATTCCTTCTCCCACAATGGCGCCTCAATCCCAGCGACCGACTTTTGTCCCTCTGGCCGCCAAACATATAACTTGTGACTAACCACGCAAGGTGAAGAGTTAAGTTGATGCAGACTTATATTAGTTGTATCTATGTGTTTGCTTAACGCCCTAAATTACAAAGTTAGAGACTGTATTCGATATTTGTCCTGCAAATTAACAATCAAGCACTGCGCGCTCTAGAGCGCAATAATTAGTAATGTGTTCTTGACTAGCCTCTGAACTTAATTAAAAACAATTTAATAGGTATCTTTCATACACGTTTGGGTTAAAAAGCTTGCTCTTTAAGATGCTGAAAGCGATGACGAATATTAAACTAGGGGTGTAAACACAGTCAGATTTTTTTTAATCAATACAATGCACCAGCTTTACGTCAAGTCTAGAAACACTGAAAAGTGTTATGAATTTAGCGTTGCGCTTGGCTAATACCGTTTAGTATTTTCACTTAACTATACGAAGCTATAGACTGATAATAATATATAACATACTTTATTTTATTGTAAACATAAATTTTGCTTAAAAACCAAAACAGACACTCGGCTTTAGCCAGCCGTCACACACACGCTCGCCGTAACACGAGCGACAAAAACACACATACACTCACACACGCACGCGCGCACGGCGCGCGCACACACGCACAGCCACACACATAAAGTATAATATATATATATACTATAAATATATATATATATATAATATAACTATCGTATATTTATTATTATCATTTTTATTATATGATATTGTCGATATGCTGTGTCAGTTTAGCTGAGCATACGAGCCTTATATACAGTACATAAGCGCGATACCTGACGCAGTATGTGCGCTAAATTTTATGAAGCTTCTACCGAAATCTCTCAGTGGTCAATCTCAAAATAAAGGCCGCTGGCATATATTTCGAGAAAGAGAGAGAGAGAGAGAGAGAGAGAGAGAGCGAGAGAGAGAGAGAGAGAGAGAGAGAGAGAGAGAGAGAGGGAGAGACGGTGGGTAACCTCTCTAACGCCTACTCGCTCTTCAACGGCTATGTAGTATAGTGGTACATCGAGGACAGGCGCAATATTGCTGGTCGCATAACACTGGGGTAATCAATACAAACACGGTAATAATAAATTCATCCCCGCACCACGGGAGCCCTATTCCCCCTCTATCTCTCCCTCCCCCTTCTCTCTCTGGTTCTCCAATTATTGACTGTTATAGAAGCGTCAAATTATGCGGCCTCTCGCGTTACCCGTCAACTTTACGTCTGCCATATAGGCACGTGACAGCGGGTAATATAATAGTTATGCTACGAGCACTAAACAGTCCCGCGAATCGGGTTGCCCTCGTTTCCAAACGAAGCGAAAGTGGGCTAGGTGGTCGGAGCGTGGTGGACCATGGGCTAAAGCGTGTAGTGTAAAGAATGACAACTCACGTGTAATAATATTATGTGTGTAATGTTTATTAGCGCCAACAAACCTGATTTCCACGTCATACTTATACAGACCTAGATAATACAGCCATTGAAAAGTCCGCATTCCGAGGAAAACGTTCTACATAGCCGATCGGTTTTCGGATTTGATTTATAGAGCGTATTTGGCAAAACGAAAACAATTTCCGTGACAACAACTGTAACTTCTGATCACGTCGAAAACATGAAACGTTAGCA